GCATATAATCGAACTGTATTGAAAGATTAGGATTTACAATATCAAATTACTTGCATATAATCGAACTGTATTGAAAGATCAGGATTTACAATATCAAATTACTCGCATATAATCGAACTGTATTGAAAGATCAGGATTTACAATATCAAATTACTCGCATATAATCGAACTGTATTGAAAGATTAGGATTTACAATATCAAATTACTTGCATATAATCGAACTGTATTGAAAGATCAGGATTTACAATATCAAATTACTCGCATATAATCGAACTGTATTGAAAGATCAGAATTTACAATATTAAATTACTCGCATATAATCGAACTGTATTGAAAAATTAGGATTTACAATATTAAATTAATCGCATATACTCCGACTATAGTACAAGATTAGATCTCTAATTAGTTTGTTGAAGCATGTTATAGAGACATGAGATTAAACCTAATCCTTCAGCTGCTTCTGTGATGCCAAAATAGCTGTTTATGTTAATGGCTTCGAAAATATTGAATAAATAAGAATAAAGTTGTCTTATCAGCCAGAAATCTGTATGTCGTCACTTTCTTCCATCTTTGATGATCTTGGAAGTTAAACAAAACACAATTTTTTATGAATATACCGAGTGATTTTTATGTGTACGTCTTCGGCAATTATAACCAATATTCACACGTCAAGCGTTGTAACAAAGCGAAACGTAAACCAACTTACGTTCATCTGGTTGCGAATATTTTGTAGAGCGTATTCCGAATTCTTATAACCAATATTCACACGTCAAACGTTGTAACAAAGCGAAACGTAAACCAACTTACGTTCATCTGGTTGCGGATATTTTGTAGAGCGTATTCCGAATTCGTCCTGAGTAGCATTACATCCTTAACATCAACCTTCCATAGTTTTCTTGCCATCTTCTTTTCATAGCGATAGTGACTAACAGGAGAATACAACACGTTTAGTATTGGAAATACTCGTAGTGCTTAAGTTAAGACTAACGAAAAGTGCCTAAAAAAACAACAACAGTGCAATTCCCGATTTACGTAATTATCTTTTGAATAGTATCACATAGCTCTTACGTTCCCAATATTCAGTTATTGCAAGCTCCATTACCCTGGTGTTTAAAATAATTTATTTGTAATATATTAGTAGAAGAATTTGGTCAGGCAATATGCTCGAGAGAGTTTTTTGTTTTGTTTTTTTGTTGTTGTTATTAAGCACAAAGATATAAACCATGAAAATCGAGCCTCGATTTTCAGCATTATAAACTCTCGAGCTCATTGCTGTGCCACCGTAGGGCTAAGAGAGAAAGATGAAGACAAACGTATTAAAATGTATAAATACCCAAGAAATACGGAAGGAATGGAGGAATGATGATGATGAAGAGAACTGTAGACGATGAAAGAAGGAAGGAAGAAGAGAATATGAAACATATTTGGAAGTGCGAAGAGATGTAAATAAAACAAGAACTTTAAATGGATTAGGTAGAAAAAAAATGATTTGAATAATTTGAAGATGATGAAAGGAAACAAGGAAATTGTTTAACTCTTGATGAAAGGAAACGAGGAAATTGTTTAACTCTTGATGAAAGGAAACGAGGAAATTGTT